GAAATTCAAATCTATTTTCAGAATTCTTATAGCTTTACTAGATTAATCAGTAAGTAGTACTGGAAATAGAACACGTCTATAATCCTATGTCGCATGTGTGTTAGACAAAGACAGAAAATCGCCGCTTCCAATCCTCTTAAGCAGGGGTCGGCAACCTTTTTGGTGTCAAGGGCCAAATAAATAAAAATACGTTTTTCACGGCCCATGATTTGAAATACACCTTATTTTATTTAAACAAAATATTATATTAAATTAAAATTTACCCCTGCTCTTAAGCATGAAAATATGGTTAGGTAGTAGGTACCTACTACCTACCTAATACCTATTGCATATTTTGTTGCATTATTGTAGACTGTAGTTATAGTATTGTATCATACTATATCAGTGGCGTATCTACGGTTTTCCCCATTACTTTTAAAATATTCATTGATACCAAACAATGTCGAATGCAGTACCTACCTATATGAATATGTGACACAATTATTATGCATAAGCTCTTTATGTTTTCATACCTACATTAGTTTTAATATAGTACCTACTACCTACAGGCTACAACACTATACAGCAGCGGTTCCTAAACTGTGAGCCGCGGCGCCCTGGTGCGCCGCGATGTCTTTTCAGGGGCGCCGCGTCGCCGTAGAAATTTACCTGGTCTAAAAATAAATTCATGCTATGTCTTGGGAAGGGCGCCTTGAGAAAAGTTTAGTTCAAAAAGGGCGCCGTGAGCTAAAAAAGTTTGGGAACCGCTGCTATACAGTATGATTACAACTGACAATCACATATATCACATCATTTCCTGGAAATAATAATTATTATTTTATAATTTTACATTGTATAGTATATACATATAACTTATCTTATATAGGTACCTTAGATATAGTGTATACATAAACACAAAAATATACATGCTACATGTATTTTGATTTGATATGAAAATGCAAGATAAACATTAAACAACTAACAAGAACATATTATAATATCCATATATTTTAAACACAAATAATGTTTCAACCTACCTATGTCTTATGCATTCCAAAACCATTCATCCGATTGCGATGAAATTTGGTACAGAGATAGATTAGACCTTGGGGAAGAAGATAGGCTACATCTTGTCTCGAGAGGTCCAAGCCGGGAGGTTCTCAAACAGGGATTTTAAGATTTATGATGGAAATTTTTGTTTGTAAATGGCTGATTGACTTTCACATAAACTTTTTATTAGACGCTTTACTTCGTAATTTAAATTGTTGAAAATAGTTTTCCCCATGTAATTAGGAGAATTTCTGGAACTAGTTAATGAAGTATATGAAGGTTTAATGAATTTTCCTGTTCTTCTGTCTATTATTTCTGTAGCATTGAGTGTATGGTTCTGTATGGATTTAACTAACAATTGTCTAATGTATAATTTATAAACAAATAATATATTAGTATGGTTAAATAATTCCTCTGATGGGTATTTTAATGATAGGGAGTATGATATATGGGAGTAATGTATTGATATCTGTCCTGTTGGTGCCTCCCCAACATGTTATGCCTTATAATACTATCGAATTACACAGTGCCATGTAAATTTGTCTTATATGTATATGTGCATACAGTTAAGCTCCTCGTTTTATTTTTGATAATATTATGTAAATGTTCTGACCATTTTAAGTTAAAATCTATTGTCACTCCTAAATATTTGAATGATAATACCATTTTAATTGTTTTGCAACTAAAATTTGTCATACTAGTTCCACATTTATGTACCTATTATAAATTTATATCCAACAGGTAAAAGTGGACGTATGGTAACTATTGACATGTAAACCGATTTGTTTATGTTAAGTGATTACAGATTTTTTTCTATCCAGTCATAGATATGCCGTAAATCGATTTCGACAGTGTTTTAATTTTTCCCAATTATCTTCGAAATTAACTAGTGCTATGTCATCCGCGAACATGAATAATTTACCTTTTAATGAAGATGCAGGTATAGAGTTAATATATTATATTAAAAACAATGTAGGACCTAAAGATGTACCTTGAGTGACTCCATAATCTTTAACATAACAATGATTACTGAAATGAGGTCCGATAGTTGTTAGGTAGTTTGTTGTCTGTTACTCAGATAACTGGTAAACCATTTTAAAACGTTGAGTGCCGCGGTCAACGGGTGGTCGACAATTTGTATAGGTAGGCATCTTTATGGCCTTATAATTTACTCGGTTATCAGAGCAATTCTTCCGTTTTTATACGTGGTTATTCAGTGAAATGTCTTCTTTTAAACAGTGTATTCGGATTTTATTTTCGTTTATTTTTAGCAAAGTAATGGTTATTTTTTCCCAGAAAATCGTCGATGACAGCGACTACGACAATTGTATACATAATTATATTATAGTATATATACATATTATTCTTATAATATACGGTTGTAAAGTAATTAACCATAGTATTCGTATTGCCAAATTTATTTTTCTTATATTATAAATATATATATATATTATTATGATTTATAAACGAAAATAATTCAAGGAATTTACATTATTACATTATTATTTTGTTTACCTGCATACTATTCATTACTAGAGCTATAATTTATTATTTGTACACGTATATTGGTCACGTTCAGTACGCCGAAGTGTTCGGTTATCTATATATTGTATATGTAATTCAAATACTAAATAATAATAATAATAATTAGGTATTTTGAGAAAAACCACGGTAGGTATTGCTCTGTGGGCCGACGTCGACACATAGTCGACCGACGTAATTACGAAACCGATTTCGCGCGGATTCTCGGGCAACGCGCGCCAAATCCTACGAGGCACTGAACGTGTTAATGCATTGTCATCAAAGCCTAACTATTTTAACTTGTTTAATAATACCTAATTGTCTACTGATTGAATCAAATGATTTTTCCAAGTCCAAGAATGAAATTAAAATTTTTTTTTTGGTATCCCTTTTGCTAAGTAAATAGTTATTAATGTCGATTAAAGCGTCTTCTGTTCCTAATTTTTTTCTAAACCAGTATTGTCCAGTAAATAATATTTTATCTCTCTCCAAGTAGGTATACTAATAGTTGATTTTTAATTATTTTTTCAAGGATTTTAGTTAGAATTTCTACTATTTAGATTGGTCTACTTTAAGTTCATCCAAGTACCATTTGTTATGTTACAGTTAATTATGTGTACAATAGGTGACATCACATTGTCTCCTATTTGTTTAAAAAACAGTGCTGTATAACCATCAACTCCAGGTGCCGAGTTATTATTCAGTTTATTTAATATACTTATTACTTCATAACTGCCTATGGTTTTTAACTTGAAGTTGGAGCTTATACTTGATTTATTATTAGTATTTGTTCCGAAATTAGATTGTATATTATTTGTACTATTAGGAAAATTATTATCAACTAGTCTATTTCCGATTGTAGCGAAGTATGAATTTACTATGTTTAAGTAGTCTTTAGGCGTGGATGTCGGATATATTATGTCCTTTATTATTTCATTGATTGGTAGCCCGGTAGATTTAATTTTTCTCCCCGATAGATTTATCATCCAGATTTATCTTCCATTACCATTACATATTTCTATTTTGTTGATATAATATTGTTCTTTAGCCTTCCGAATGAGTATTGTTAATTTATTTCTATAAGCTTTGTAATAGTTTATCAATTTATGATTTAAACGGTGCATCCGAATTGCATGCCAAAAAAATAAATATAAATCGGGTCGTCCGAATTGCATGCCGTCTCTTGGAGGGGTCTGTCCGAATTGCATGCCACCTCTTAGAGGGGTATATCCGAATATATAACTTACTTTTCAACTGGAGGATCGGGATTTTGTTACATTACAATAAAACATATAAACAAAGGTGGGCATTAACTAGTTGAAAAGTTAAAGTTCAGTTAAAAAGTTAATTTTTTTTAACTTTTTAACTTAACTAGTTAGTTTATTTTCTAATCAACATATGAACTTAAATAGTTTAATTTACAATTGAAATAACTTAGCTTTTCTCATTTGATTTAAAAAAATCCATTAAGTTAAAACATTTTGATATTGTTCGTTTATACTTAAATATTACGAATTTCGAACGCTCATAAAAATTTAATTTGACTTTCTTATAGGCATTTTTTTTTTTGATAAAGGTAGATAATCTTATAAGGAATCTTGTATTACATTTTCAAATCTTTGATTTAAAAAAAAAAATTTTTACGAATTCTTAACTCAAAATAATTTGCTAATTTTCGTGGATTTTCCATATTTTGTCAATTTTTGAATTTTAAATGCTTATAAAAAAAATCGTGAGTAAGGATTTTATATATTTTTCATTTGCCTTTGAAACAATATACTAATAGCCCTCCATTTAATTTTCAAGCTTTTTTAACCAACAAATACAATTTTATTGATATTTTTAGAAAAAAAACTAAAAAAATATGGAAAATGAAAATGTTCCTTAACAGTTCAAATCAAATCATAATATTTTGAAAATTTTATCGTGTACAGAAAATGCTAATATAAACATTCAGTCAAAATGTTATGTATCTACGGTAATTTATTTAAGGGTTGCACCAAAACCAAAATTATTTTTTTCGAAAACAGATTGTGTGTAAAAATTCCCGTTCTATTTTAATTTTTCTATCGTTTTTCACGGCACTTTTGAAAACTACTAAAAAAATTATACTTTTGACTCCCCAAATTACCAAAATTCCATTAGATGGATAATTACGAACGTTTGGATGTATTTTATAAAGGTGCGATTCCTTAGGACGCGTCTGTAGACGCGCGGCCAATGCGGCTGTCGCATTGCGGCCGAAATTTCGGCCGCACGAGCCGCACGGCTCAATGACGAATTCCCTAGAAAATACAAAATATGGCCGCAAGAGACGCACGGCGTATTTTATTTTATTATACAGTTTCCAATTTTTTTCATTTCCAGTTTCCCTTGTACATCTGAACGGTTAACAAGTCATTCGTGTATTTATATTATACCTACTGGTGCATATTTTACAATTAATTATAATGTTGCGCAGTAAGAAAAAAAAAATGCTTATTAAATTAATGCTTTTGGAGCAAATTGACGAAGAAACAGCCATAATCGAACATGTAATGAATAATAAAAATCACAATATTCATGATATGTTTCTCAAAAGAAAAATTGAGGGCTTTTATAACATTTTAATTGAGAAACATTTATTTAAAGATGAAACCAAATTCAGAGAATTTTTTCGATTGAGTTATGATCAATTTAATTATGTTTTAAATATCATTGAAGATGACATCAAGAGTGATCCTTACAATCGAGTTAAACAGCCAATAACACCAGCCGAGAAGTTATCAGTTACATTAAGGTAAAGTTTTGACATATTTTAATAGGTATGATATATTATATTATTGTGTACCTATACTTACCTTTTTTGCTAAATAAATACGTATTTTGTTCACTAAGTGAATATCTTCAGTACGAAAATTAAAATAAAATAGTTCAATACTAATCAGTCAGGGTGGTAGCAACTTCGCATGTTGGGTAAGCAGTATTTTTATATGTTTTTAAATCGTTAAATCGTAAAAAACGCAATCGTTTATTGAATTATTTAACACACCAAAACGCCTTATCAAAATAGCCCCCAAAGGAACTGTGTACATTTTAGTATTTTACTAGTTAGTTTCTTTTCTTGCTCACTCTACCTATATCGTACCTTCTTTCTCTAAGCGCTGTCCATTAGCTTATAGGTGTATGGTTATTACTTATTAGTTATTGCTCTATGTCAATGGTCTGTGCTATATAGTCACAATCGTACCTCGAAATTCCAAATGCTAGCAGCAAGTGGGTAATTAAAATAAATTAAATTTTATCAGGTCGATACGTGGAAAGTGCGAACTCCTTAGAAATTATAAATAACTAGAAATAATTATTACGAAATTCCAAATGCTAGCAACAAGTGGATAATTAAAATAAATTAAATTTTGTCAGGTCGATACGTGGAAAGTGCGAACTCCTTAGAAATTAGAAATAACTAGAAATAATTATTTCGTTGAAAATAAATCCTTAAATAATTATATTTTATAGATATATGGCTACCGGCGAATCATTTCGGTCATTGGCATTTGCGTTTAGGATATCTCAAAGTTATATCACTCGTATTATACAGTTGGTTTTAAAAAGTTTGAGTTCACGACTAACTGGTAAATTATTAAAACCACCATTGCCAGAAGATTTGATACGAATTGCAGGTGAATATTGGGATAGATGGAACTTTCCAAATTGTGTTGGTGCAATCGATGGAAAGCATATTAGAATATTTTGTCCGGGAAAGAGTGGTTCTTTGTTTTTTAATTATAAAGACTATTTTTCAATTGTCTTATTAGCTATTGTGGATGCTAATTGTAAATTTATTTATGTCGACATTGGCTCGTACGGAAAAGAAGGTGATAGTGGCATATTTGGAAAATCAAGTTTGAACCAATTAATTAAACAAAAAGAATACTTTCCGCCAGAAAAAAAACTTCCAAATTCGGAAATAAGCTTACCATTTGTTCATGTCGGCGATGAAGCTTTCCGTCTGGAGACACATATGATGAGACCATACACTCGTGGAGAAGCCCGGAATGATAACAAAAAAATTATTTTCAACTATCGTTTGTCAAGAGCTCGGAGAACTACAGAAAATAGTTTTGGTCTTTTAAGCCAAGTATTTAGGGTTTTTTATACTCCCATTTCTTTGAAAACCGAAACAACTGATCAACTAGTTTTATCAGCCTGTTGCCTCCATAATCTTCTCCGGGATAGATATTTAGAAAACGTGCCTAATTATTATTATAATTATGATCCAAACGAACCTCAACCTTTGAAGAACATGATGTCTCTTGCTAAATCTGGAGGTTACGCAAATTTCGAAGGATTTTTGGTAAGGGATGAATTTACAAATTTTTTCAATAGTGAACAAGGAGCTGTTTCATGGCAAGACAGCCGAACACAGGAAACTGACATTTAATTATTAATAACTGTTATTTTGAAAGTTTTTTTTTATAATTATTTATAATGTAAATAATTTGTAACATTTTTATGAAGTAATTAAATAATATTTTTAAACATAATTAACAATATTCATGGTTATTTATTATATATTGAATTTTATCATTACTATTATTATTAATTAAATTACATATAAGATATATAGTAAAATAATTATATAAAAATGTAATTTTATTTATAATAATAACAATATTAGGTATAGAAATAAGTGATTTAATAACTAATTAATACTAATATAATTAATTATATTAAGAAATATTAGGTGTTAAATTATATTTTTTTTTCAAATAATTATCAGTACATCAATAAAAGATACTTACCACTTTTTGTTTTTAAAATACATGACACTTCTTTCCACACATTTTCTCGTACATGTTGATCCTTGTACAATGAATTTCTCAAGTCAAACAAACATGGATGTTTACTAACAAATTCTGCGAGAATTGTATCTTCTTCCAAAGTAAATAAAGTTTTTGAAGACATTTTTTACAACAAAAAAAAATTCTCTGAAAAAAAATCAACTGTATCTACCGACTACCATCAACCGCGCGGCTCGTGCGTTTTGACTGCCTACTGAGGGGGTACTCGTCGCGCGTCGCTAGACGCACGCGACCGCCGAGCGCGCCTGCGGCGGTTTAAGGAAACGGTTCCATTTAAAAACGGCAAAACCAGTCTGGCGCGGCTGAAATTTCGGCCGCAATGCGGCAGCCGCATTGGCCGCGCGTCTACAGACGCGTCCTAAGGAATCGCACCTTAAGGATTTCGCAGAATTTCTGGCGGCTGGTACCGAATTGGTTCCCGAGCTCCAACCCCACATGCCGAATTGGTTCCCGTTTGGAAAAGGTGTTTTTTTGGGGTGTACCGAATTGGTTCCCGTTTGAAAAAGGTATTTTGTTGGGTTGGGCCGAATTGGTTCCCGTTTAATTACGCACATTTTCCTTCTCAATTTTACAGGCTTAGGACTGTCAACTTATAAGTAGGCTTGGTTAAAATTGTGCGTCAATGTGTGTTATAAAAAAAATGATATAATATATACAATTTTCAATCGTTGATTCGGAAGTCAATTATCACAAGGTGTAGGTAAGTAGTGGCTTTCTTGAGTTGTTCCAAGTTCTGCGTGCATGTAAATGTAATTATATTGTTGACAGAATCGTTGTCATAAATAAATTTTTCTCCGAGATTAGTTATTAACGAATATTCACTGACACTTTTATGCAGTTCTTCAAGATTAGAAGGTAACTTGGGAATTGTTCTTAATTTAGCAGCATTCAAATTTTTACGGACTCTGCTAATATCATTTTGAAGTAGTGACTCACTATGACTGTTTGAAGCTATCTCTTTGCGTATAATTTTAGATGGTCGCTCTGTAATAAGTTCGTCACATTTTCTTTTTAGTGAATTTGTCAATTGTTGTCGCGCAAGTGTACCATCGTCTTCACTTTCGTGGTTATGTGTTAATACCTCTTCACATAAACAATCTCCGTTCAATTTAACGTATGCTTTACATTTTCGTTTTGTACATATCCACCTCTGTATGTTATCTGCTAGGTTCTTTTGGAATCCAAACTTGTAATTGTCAATAATCAACAACTTAGTTCCCTTTTCACTAAACATAAACTCCATAATTACGAAAAATTAAAATTAAAAAATATAAATTCAAATACGAAATATAAATTAAAAATTTACACGATGTGTTATTCGAGGCTGTACACTGGTACAGTGTTCACTGCTCACCAACATTATTGTCATTTGTACATACGATATAGACGATGTACCATTCACCGATAAAAGTACATATATCTTAATCGTTATCTTAATTGATCGGGAAATCACCGATAATTTGCTAAACTTCCAATATATAAATATATAGCCATCTTATTGTATATTATACTATATATTATAGAGTATAGCCATGTAGGTACATTTATATTTTGTACTGTCTAATTTATATTTTGTACCAATTATTAAAAATTAAAAATTACCTGTACACAAACGGGAACCAATTCGGCTCAACCTAATAAAATACCTTTTTTGAACGGGAACCAATTCGGCTCAACTTAATGAAATACCTTTTTCAGACGGGAACCAATTCGGTTACTCCCTTTCTGGCAGGGTAGTCATACATAAGTACATAACACATTAACACACACACATATTACGTATATATATTCATATTCACATCTAATTATTAAATTAATTTGGATGGGGTAACTACCTCGTTTAACTACATTTACGATAGTAAAAAAGTATTTTATGATTGACTATCAATTATCATGATAATACTAATGAATATTGAGGGGGAAAGTTCGCAGAGTAGTCAAGTGCCTACTGGTTGATACTTTGGGGGGTCAAAAGTAAAAATTTCCCAGTAGTTTTCAAAAGCACCGTGAAAAACAAAAGAAATATCTATTATTAATATTATTTGAATTATTATGAGTATTTGATCTATAAAAATCCAATTTTGGACAAGTAATTTATTACCTAGTACCTAGTTCCTAACACTTATAAATATTTTAATTTTTAAGAAATTGTTGTTTTTAGTGACTTAAAATGGTGTAAAAAAACATTCAAAGCTTATGAAATAATAAGTGTCTTACATTAAAATTAATATTTAATATCCAATAAATTGTCATATTATATAATATTATCTAGTATAGGTACTCGTATTGAACAAGTTACAAATACTTTATTTCTATTGATTATATATCATGCCCTATAGTGGGCTCTGTGCAATAACATATATGTATAATATACAGCATAATATATATTTTGTTAGCTAATTAGCTAATATTATTATAGAATAAACATAATACTGATAACAATACAATCTGATTGAGCGCCACTCACAGCAAGATTGACAAGAAATCTAAATGGCAAAACTATACTCTAATATAGAACATTCTAAAAAAAAATATAAAATTACTAAGCAAATTGGAGAAATTCAAATCCACGGAGAGCTTTATTACACATCGTTTTTCTCGTAAAATCGCAGGGTTTTTGATTTTTTCGATGTAACTTGTTGTTACATTTTTTTGGTCATTGATCAAAAGCTTAAAAATTCAATAATATCAAATAAAACCAAATAAATTACATAACAATAATAACGTTTATTAGTATAAATACTAAATGTAGGTACACAATACTACGGAAATATAGCCATATATTTTAAAATTTATAGGTAGGTATCATCTTTTTACATAAACACTTCTTTTGATCCAGGGCTAGAATTCTGACAGCAGGGCAGAAGTTACCTCTGTGAGCTACTGCAGATCATTGGCTATTAATTCCACAGTGGCTTTTAAACGTCGCTGCAGTCTTGGCTCCCTCCCCTCTCGCCTTTATTACGCCTGTGTAATACGCCAAGGTGAGCTTTTGTCCTGAGTTCACAGCTCATTTGTGTCCAGCTAGACGCCGTTTTGTTCGCCGGACACTTTGAACAAATCCTCCGTTTAGGCTCGCCTTTTTTTGGCGTTCAGCCGGCAGACATTTTTTTGTCCTCTCGTTTGTTGAACCGTTTCGTGCATCGGCACCAGCTTCGGCTCTTTTGCGTGTCTTGCGCCACGTCGTGGTCGTTCCCGTTTCCTCTAGTAATACTCGTTTTTACCTACAGCTTTTTCCACAGCGGTTATATTTATCAAACTGATAACAGTATAGTCACATGGTTTATTTATTGACTACCAGACTACCTACCAGCTATTATTAATGTGTCAACAGGAATATTAAATTGATTTTTGACTTGCTGTCATGTTTAAACTTTAATTGTACATCTCCGTTATAGATGTACTTTTAATTTTAAGTTGTTAGTGTTTAAAGCATCTTAGCATTTTCACTAGTTAGGTATTTTTAAGCTCTGGTTGTTTGGGTATTTAACTTGTTGGTGGTAGTTCTCTGTTTCTGCATTTCTGAATAATCAATTATATTGTATTCATAATGGATGAATTCATTAAGTTCTTAAAAAATAATAATATCATTGCGGTTCTATCAAATGAAGTTTCTAATATAAATGAAAAGACCTCGATTCTTCAAAAAAAATGTCTTATACATTAATATTAATCAAATAATGAGAACTATTTTTACTTACCTTGATGGATTGTCAAGCTGACCAACACGAATCCAATTAGTTTTCGAAAATTCTTGGTAAAGCATTATGAAATTCTCAACTTCATTAACATTATTAATATTGGCTCTAAGAAAACAACACAAACAATTAAAATATCGTTGCCATGTACGTTAATGTTTCAAAAATCTACAATTCATATCTGTGTCACATAGTTACCACTTGTCAATATTCATTTCTTGTGTTCATTACGGATAAATTTCATTCCTATACGTATTTCTGTATAATCTTCTCCGTTAGTTGTGCCTATATAATATTTTCAAATAAATATGTCATATAGATGTGTATCTATGCCTAACATGGCTGCGATATGTGAAAATTCCTCAGCCAAATCGACAGATATTGGATGGCGATCAACGCCCAATCTCAAGTTTAACCGTACCAATGATATACGAAGACCGGAACCGTCGAAAAATTGTGATTTCGAGGGTTTTCTGGACGGCAGGCTCTGTGTATCTGAGCCAAACATCCCCGTATACCCAAAATTAGCTGGCGAGACAGCTGCAGATATTGGGTGGCGATCAACGCCCAACTTGAAGTTTAACGGTACCAATGATATACGAAGACCGGAACCGTCGAAAAATTGTGATTTCAAGGGTTTTCTGGACGGCAGGCTCTGTGTATCTGAGCCGAACATCCCCATACATCACAAATTAGCTGACGAGACAGCTGCAGATATTGGGTGGCGATCAACGCCAAATCTAAAGTTTCAGCAGGTCACCAGCGATGTACGGAAACCGGAAAGTCCGAGAAACACACGTCCTCGTCGTTCATTTTGGAGCCAGACAAAGAAATTTGTCAGGCGGTTCCTTTGTTGTTGTGGTCCTATTGACAAGATAGAC